TTTTTTGGAGTTTTAACATTGCAGTTTCAACGCGAGAGCGGGTTATTTTGGAGTTGCCATAATCGTGAAAAGCCGCTCTTTCAAATGACTACCAAAAGCACAAGGTCGTGCACGAAATTCTTAGGTCATTAGTTCAGCTCTGCCGTTAGCCGTTTGCCGTCAACGTGATGCTTAATCTCTCTATTTACTGCATTAGCTCGTTTGCATGTGCAATGTCGTTACAAACGTTTACCTACCAAATACAGTGGGTATCCACAGCATAAATGAACACATTTGTTAACAGTAGTAGGAACACCTTCAAAGCACTGGGCTAAGTGATCAATAGCGTATTCTAATGCTTTATCAGGACAACGAACAAGTACCGGCTCATCCACCTAAAACCAAAAATCSTAATCGATRATTATCCAATATATATGGTAGCCATTACTTAGGAGACTAGCTAGATATACAGCAGTGCCAAAAGTAACTTTTAATATTTCCATAGTGACTTAGAAAACAAAAAAGAGGTTTGTCAGTTATGTATTTCTGATTTTGCGGCGTCACAAAATTAACCTAAATTTTGTGAGATTCTAAGCGGATTTTGAGCCAGAGCTGAGGGGGTGGTGATCTCGGAAACTAAAAGTCCGTTGACACTCGGACGCCTATTAAATGGTATTAATTTCAAGCAACTCGGCCGACCCCCACATTTTAACCCTGCCCGGTTTTCTCGGACTGCGACTCTAAAAAACCTACAACTTCCTAAAGTTCGTGGGGAACATCTAAAGAAAAGTTTCGCATATACCGGCGTAAAAATTTGGAACTCCAAAACGAGTTAACGAGGARGAATCTCTCCATGCGTTAAAACGCAAAATTAAAAATTATAATTTTTGCGTGGACAACATTAGTTATTAAATAGATAATTTTATTATTGTATTGAAACCAACTCTTTGTAAATTAGCTGATGTTAAGATTTGTAATATTTTTTATATTTAATTTTCTTGTAAGGCCTCTAGGCAGACCAACGTAAAGTTGATAGAAATAAAGTTTGTTATTACTGCGAGCGAAGCGAGTAGCCTTCTATTCGGAACACAGTCTCGATTCAAGGATGTCCCTAACAGAACACACGGTACATATGATCATCGGTTTAAGTCCATACGGTGTCGAGTGAGTCGATTCGACGCATTGATTAGCATGCTTCACTCGTGGTACAAAGGCACAGACGGGAAYGGTGCTTCTGCCCGCGTCGTCCTGTTCGACTTCAAGAAAGCGTTTGACCTAATTGATCATCAAATCCTCTGTGACAAGCGTCAACGATACAACCTTCAAGCATGGGTCTTAGATTGGATTAGAAACTTTCTCACAAACAGAATGCAAAGGGTCAAACTTTCCCAGGATTGTTATTCAGAGTGGAGTCGAGTACCAGCTGGTGTGCCCCAGGGTACTAAATTGGGTCCCTGGCTGTTCGCTGTAATGATCAATGACATCAATGTTCCCGTTGTTAGTACTTGGAAATATGTAGATGACACGACAATCTCAGAAATTGTTCCCCGTGGTAAACCAAGCACCGTCCAAGCTGCAGTTRACGAATGCCAAGCTGCTTGGTCTAACCATCTCAAATGAACTCAAATGGAACTCACACGTATACGATATAGTGAGGAGAGTATCATCAAGATTATACCTATTACGTCAGCTCAAGCGCGCTCGTTTAGACACGAAAGAGCTCCTGTGTTTTTTTACGACGTGTATACGCCCAGTTACCGAGTACGCCTGCCAGGTCTTCTGTAACAGCCTTCCCAATTATCTTTCAGAGGATATTGAAAGACTACAGAAGCGCGCTATGCGCATAATCTTCCCTGAAACCAGCTATTCTGAAGCCTTAAAATCCGCTGGCCTGGAACTCCTTAGTGAGAGAAGAGTGTCCCTGACTACACAGCTGTTCRCCGARRTCTGTGAGGACCGAAATCACAAACTGAACAACCTTTTGCCTCCGATAAACCAATGTCAARTGAACCTTAGAACCAAAAGAGCCTTTAATGTTCCTCCTTGTAAGACAAATCGTTGCAAATCAAGTTTTATCTATGCGAACGCTGTATTAGTCTAAGATTCCCCGTTAATTTCATGTTTTTCAATTGTAAATAATTCATTTATCCAAGCTTTATCTAGCTTTTCGAACTTTGTAATCATGTTTAAATAGTTTTAGTAGTTTTTTATATTATCTTTTTCCATTGTATGTACTCATATGTAAATAATGCCGTAATTCAGCCTATGGCTGCAAGGGTTTTTATTATTAAACTATCAATCTCAAAGTGGTTGTACGAGTTTGGCTTGCGTTTGAATTGCGTTATTTTTTATACTTTTTAGATGTTATGGAGTACTGTATTGCGTCCTGTACACAGATAAATATGATACATAGAGATGCAGGTACATGTACATGGACACCCATTTCATGTAGGCATAACGAACAGTGTGGCTGTGATCAAGGTTGAGTAGCCTTAGCTACCTAGCCTGAGTATCAGGCTCTCTCGAAGGGGTTTGAGCCCTTCGAGAGAGCCTGATACTCAGGCTATAGCTACCAGATGAGCCAACTGAACAGTGATCGTTTGCATATGACGTCAACAGAAGATATATGACAGATAATTTTCATGGAAAGACATTGCCGGGTATTTACGCTTGAATTGTGTCACGCAATAGCAGTCACGTATCGAAGTCGAATGATAAAAATTGATATCAATTTGATATTTGGCCTCATATARTATCCTTGTATCCATTTTAAGTGTATTATTGTAGAAAATRATCGAAAATATTCGACTTTGCCCTCTTCTCAGACCTTTAAAGTATCATCCGCCATGTTTAAAGACACGAGTCGTCGCTTTAATAAACTAAAATATATGAGGTGGCGATTTTGGCAGCCATTATTCTTGTCCGGTAGGCATASTATCGCAAAATAACAAGGAATGACTGGGAAATCGATGTCAAATAATTCCCGCTGAATTCAAATTCGGAAAGAGTTATCAAACAGCTTATATTGTTTATCCCGTAGTCTGTGAGCTGATATTCCTACCTGAATGTACTTGCAACCGGACTCAGCAAGAGCTAAGATTTCTGCATTTAAGATCTTCACCAATGTACGACTGAGATCCTTGTCGTTATGGTAATAGTTGTCACAAACCGAGTTGATTATCGTAAGAGGTCCTGGTAGAGTGATCTTAACCGGTCTCTTTGTCAAACTCTGCGTTTCTCTCCATTCATTTKGAAYCCAGGCTTTSGCACTATCAGCCTCTATTCGTGCAACAATGGTTGGTASCGAASCGATCCATGCTCCATTACGAGAACTTTTAACAGTTAAATTCTCAAAGTCGATTCCTTTCAAACGACGGCAGAAATGATGGACATAATTCTCTCTGTSMATCTCGCCGTCTGTAATGACATCGATACCTACTGTTCCTTGAACATCCACGACCTCTTTGATTGCTCTCTGTACTGTTTCACGTAAAGTTTGAGAATCCGTCTCTCTAATGATCTTGTTGTATTGTACAATAAAATCACCGTTCTGCCGCGTACGAAACCAGTCAGGTAGAGACAGGTAATCTGGTTTAGGAAAGCTACCGATCACCGTCGTTCGTAAAGGCATCTTCTTCCCTTAACTAGACGATCATTGATGATCGCACACATGGGCTTCCAGAGGCAAAACAAAGTTGCTAGCAAGCTTTTTCAAATCGATTATACCTCCCACGTTTTTCGAAAACTAGGCACTCAAGAGTGCTAAGTTGGGCTATACTAGATCAAAGGGTTATTTACAATTCCTATTGTTGACCTGTAAAAACTGGTATTAATATTAATATTAAAATGAAATAATGAAGAATCAGATATTTKAAGAAATTTGCCTTGCTAAAGCGRCTACTATTTGCCTGTTAGTTGAAGTTATTGTTTGCATTCATTGAACTCCCAAGATATCGTTGATTGGCGTTGAGGCACAGGTTTATTTACTTGTTATTATTGCTTTTTGACACTTGCGGTGATTCTATTTGAATTTTGGTATCGTCYAGAYGTAACGCTACTAGACGTGGTATGGCAGCATTTACCCAGTCTGAAGCAATCAAARTTACTAAGCTATGATAAATTTACAGAATATAGCTACATATAGCGGGTCACCGACTTTGGTATTGAATGATAACCATCGGATCTTAAGACGCAGACCTTAGAAGCAGCAAATTCCAATTAGTATAAACATACTAATGGTCTATCACTCATACTGCGCTGTGATTGGCTACTCTACTAATGGTCTAATTTGTGATAGACCACTCGCGGGAAAATCAATCTCATTAATAATTATTTTAAGGATATTTCAATTTGTTTTCATTATTTGACCGATTAGTATGTTTATACTAAAACAATTAGACCTCTCGGCCTCGTGGACTACGAGCTAGAACGGATTTCGTATGAGTGGGAAACGGACGGTACTGTACGGTGACCGTAATCGTACTGTAAACAAATTCTAGTGCCCCTTTGGTTCACTAAAATTGTGCAGGCCAGGTCGGGTAACTGTGCGGTAACCGTGCGGTAACGGTGTCCCACTCATACGAAATCCGCTCTAATAGCCCATTCGGCCTCGCGGACTCGGCCTCATGGGCTATTAGCTCGTAGTCCACTCGACCTCGAGGTCTAATTGTTAATTGGCATAATTTAACACCAGTACAGATCGAAAGCGCGATSTTCACGCTGTCATGCATGCGTCTAGTTTTAAAAGTGCTACGCAGGCCCGTAAGATTAAAAGGTCCGGTATATTTGCTGCGAACGAAGTGAGCAGCGACACTAATCTCGCAGACCTTTCGGAGTCCCTGTGCCATACATGTACATACTGAAGGCGAAAGTCGATTTCGTGGGCTAGCGATAGTTGAGCGCCTACAGTAAACATCACATATAATCAGCGGTTAATATCAAATGATGAATGCGTCGTAAACCGMATGGTCTTTCTTTTGCTTTCCGATCTTGTAATGGTTAGTTTGAAAAGTATTTATCATGTTAAATGCGACTTTATTTATTCGAGGAAGTATTCATCAAGGTGATAATCGTTTTAGCGACATTTCTAGAGGAAGACAATGTGCTTTTATGAGTCTTTCAGCTTTTTTAACTGCACATTGTGATGATATTTCAACGTGGACGACAGAGACGATCGATCGTGTTTTGGCCAAGGAGATTGCATCTTTTTAACATCTTTTTAACAGCATTCGAAAAGCGCTCTATACCTGATAATTAAATAAATAAATAAATAAAAAAAATGTAAAAATGAAAAAAAAAAACATTTCGAAATAAAGTGTGTACATACGTTCTAATGATGTTCCTTTTGTCATTGACATATCTTACTGTTTGTATTAACTAAGAAATTAAAATGCACTATTTTAGTAAGAACTTCTCTTCATAAAATCAAATACATCTAAATTTCGAAAAGTGTTACKAAGTTTGCGTATCGCAGCATTTCACTTCCGATAGGAATCGCTAGTTCTAAAATTATTTTGATATGAACTGTTTTTGAGATTTGTTATGGACTGCAACTTGAGTATCAGGCCTTCGAGGGGGCCTGGGGAGGAGAGGAGGGAAAAGGTTCTCCCTTTTTCCCTCTCCTTCCGTTTTTCCCCCCGAGAGCCTGATACTCAGGTTACATACTTGCAGTCAGTTCTTACACACTATATGGAAGGAAACCGGAAGGAAAAGGTGTTGGGTGCTAATCGTCCTTCATGGCAGCATGCTGAATTGCGAAAGACGCAGCTCGACGCGCTCTCAAGTCGAAGTGCTATATTACAGACACATTTTAYRKACACTTACACATAGGCGTGCTGCCGGCTAGGCGCTTCCTTTACATAGCAACGAACAACTGAACGCGGAGCACAGCAGATAGAAATGGTTCGTTTATATTGAGGTAATTTAGTTAAACTTTAATTTAGTTCCGCATCATGAAAAAACGAACCCCCCATTTGTCAGGCAGCCTACGGGCCTGGTGCGGATATGCAATCAACTCACAACAGGAAGCCCAAGAACGAGGATCTGTCGTACGACTTCCATATATGGTTGTGCATGTACACGGTGCTGATATACACATATACATTACAAAGTTCTTCACGGATTCAGTTTTGGAAGCTACATCTACTCTTTTTAGCTTATTGAAAAATGAGAAGATATAAATAAGATTAGTTTTTAATGATATAAAAATGAAACAGTTTCGACTGAATTGATAAATAGCTTTTATTTTTGCCCAGCAATGTTAATACAACCAACAGTCTATTCCCAGACCCTCTTTATGTTCAAACTTCTGAGCCGCTAATGGCGGACAAAACTATGGTCAAGAAAAATGGGACAGGACTTTACAACTAATTGCTCTACGAAACACAGGAAGCCCACTGTCTACGACATGAACTTGGCGTAGACGTTGATACACACACGACCTTGATTGTCATGCTCTGACCAGTTCTTTAGATCTTCTCCGTACCAGACACGAATCTGTTCAAATGGAGGCAGGTAAAAAGGTGTTGAAAAATCAGCAAAGACAATATCCCTGGAGTTGGAGTCGCTTACAAATGGCTGCCAGTACCAAAGACCACCATTCCTGAATTCAAAGAATCACGTGATCAGTCATCCGATCAATCTGAGTCCATCAAGAAAAAAGAAGAACATTATGTACAATAATGATCGTAAAATGATAATATAAGAAGAGCTCAAGAAAAACAGCAGCAATGACAACTACAGCTGACGAAAATTTCTTAAAGTGTTCATAAAATTACAAAGTTCTTTTTAGATTTTTATTTGGGTAAAGGTACTCTTGCAAACAAGTGCAACAGAAAACAAATAATGTACTGAACGCGGTATCGATCAATATAATACTGACCAGGCACACAGCCGGTCGAAATTCTTTCACTCCACCGCAAATAAAAAAATTCGTAAGAAATACAATTTTAGTAATATTAGTTGATTATTGATATAGGTTAATGTGGAATGGAGGGTCAAGACTATCGCATGTCATATTATGTTTTACCGTCCTAGCGATCGTCACTCTTTACCCGTCCCTCCCATCCCAGCAGAAATATATAATGTGACATTAAACTGCTCATTATTGCCCAACACACTTGAATTCTTATTAATATCTTGTTCGTTAGACACTTAGTTTATTGATTATTTGGCATGGACATTAATTGTCCATCCTACAGTTAATGATCGATAAAGAGACAATTTAATGTGTCTGCGCATGTCAGAGATACAACTTTCCTACTTACACGATAAACTCCTTTTTAGGGAAGATGACGTGGTTGTGTCTGTCTGTGACGACGACGTTTAAAGGATGATTGATGTATGAGCCATAGTGGCCACACCCCCAGCGACTATTATAAGCTGTGTTGGACACACATCGCACTTCTCCTGAAACATACTCTAGCTTGACAGCAACAACCAGACCATAATCAGCATAGCTTATCAACGATCCGTACCGGTCACCACGAGCCTCGAAGCACACAGGATGGAGGTTTAGTCGTTTCCAGCCTTTGGCTGACGGCTCAGAACGAGCTGAAAAAAAGACACTAGCAATATTCAAACACTTTAAATGGTCCTCTTTAAACGGAACAGAAAAAAGTTGATTAAATACTGTTTTTTTTAGTATTCAACCATTATCAACCAGGAGAAACAATACTCCGTTGCATCTTTTAATAGAATAGTCCCCGAACGAACAGCAATAGTCCCCGAACGAACAGCTGAATCAATAATAGAGCCCGTGAAAGAATCGTTTTGTGCAGCTTAGAAGTGAAATGTAACGAT